GTTTCACTGTGTCCGGAGGAGTGCGCAAACAAGCACGGCCACCCGACCTGCACTCCCACCGTCCGGCCGTTTTATATGCAACGGCCGGTCGGGAAGTGGTTTAACCACCTCCTGTCCGGCCGTTGTATATAAACGGGCCGGATTATGGGTGGCAGTGTGGCAGGATCTGAAAAAAACTGATAAGAACAGATTTTTTGATTGAAAAGATACTTTTATTGCAGATAGCATCAAAAACAACATGATACTTGTAATCGGGGGTACATCTCACCCTGTACTGCGACGCAGCGCACCACATTGCAATACAGTTCCAAGCATACGATAAATACATTCAGAAATAAATACATTCGCTCAGCGGTATGATGCCTGCTGATTGTGATGTGCGTGGAGGATGAATCCCCCGGACCTAACACGTCATGCATGACGCCGCTTACCCCCAAAAACTTTAATGCTATGATACACAGTACTAAGTCATGCAAAAAAAACGAGAACGAAAACGAAAGCCGGAGTTTACAATCTACAATAAGCATCGGGTGTGTGGGGGGGGAGGGGGGAAAAAGGGGGGAAAACACAGGCCCGAAGCTTTATTGAAGGGACAAAGACACGCAAGGGAGAGTATGGGGAAGGGGAAATCTTCAGACGGCCTCTTCCTCCTCTAAAGTCCATCAAGGTATAGTCTGCCTGAGCAGACTGAGGATCAGTCTGCGACAGTCCTCAATGGACATCCTCTCCCGCTGGTGGATGAGGCGCTACCTGGCGCACCATAAACGTCCTTAAAGCAAACACAGCACCCTCCAGGCACCGTCAATGTCCTCCAGACAAAAAGTTCCACAGAACAGTCCATTCAACACCCCAAAGTGAGTGATGGCTGTCTGTGGTACAAAGTCCTTGAGTTCAGGTTCCAGGGCCCCCAACAGGGCCTGAGCAAATGAGCACTCCCAGAAAACGTGGTGAGACACTGATAAGAACAGATTTTTTTTTTTTTTTAAGTCCGCAAACGTGCAAACTACAACGAAAAACCCGTAAGTGATCACAAAAAAATGTGCAAGTGCGAACACCACACGAAAAAGTGCACTTAGGGGTGTGTTTGTCCTACCCCCGGAGGGGTTGAACCGTTACCCTGATCCCCGGGGCACGAAGCTCCTGACAGGGACAAGGTTCCCATTTGGTCCTCCTAGCCAAAAGGCCTGGTGGACCACCGTTCCTTATGTCCAGCCGAAGCCGGACATCCAGTTACTAGGCCAGGGGGCTCTCCCGAAGAGGCCACACATCCTCCCCTAGACTTCAGGGTAGGCCCGAGGACCCACACCCTCCATCCGTGAAAAACACACACATAAGTAAAGCAAAAGTGACAAAACGTGGGAGTGCATAAATAAATAAATAAATAAATAAATAGAAATAAAAAAGTGGTACCGTGCCAAATTGTGCACAGAACCAGGCCCTGAGGCCCGTAGCAAAAATTGCCCTGGTCCTAGCCAAAAGACCTGGTCCTTAGGGCGCTGTGCAAAAAGAGGTGAAAAACAGTGGGCCATGTGTCATCTTCACACCGTGGGGTCCCACACCCAAGTGTTACTAGTGACACCCTGAGAGCATCTTCCTCACGGGGGGCACTGAGTTTGCGGACTTTTTGCGTCCCCAGCCCCTGGCCAGACCAAGGTAGATCCGTCCGAATCAGGATGGTACTGGGTCTTTCCAGCTTTCCCAGAGGAATTACTCCCAAGGCCCCAGAGCGAATCGTGGTGCTCCCTGGTTTCTTTCCCTCCGGTCCAGCCTTCCGGACCCCCATCATACCAGTGAGGGTACTATACAACAGCCATCCCCGCAAAGCTAGAATGGCCGGGAGCCCCCCCCACTGAACACTGATAAGAACAGATTACTACACTTGATCTTAGACAAAAGGCCAACTCCTTCTTCAGGTTGATGTGACCATCCTCCTGTTAACCTGAAGAATGCATCCACCAAAACTCCATAAAAGGGCTCCTCGGGCTAATGTGATTATCATTGCATGAAGCTGATGAAAGGTTCCTCAGGCTAATGGATCATCATGAAATTAGGTTAATGTGATAGTCATCACAGCCTGGGGTTCTGATGGGATACATTTTCATGTTTGAATAAAATTAGGTCTCCTGCATAGGACGGGAGAGGCCTGCTATGGAAAACCAATGGACAGTGATAAGAATCAGACAAGGTTTTCCAGCTTCTCACCTTGACAAGTCTTCTGAAGCCCAATGGACAGCCCAGCCAGATTGGTATCTGTCCTCCAATGCCAATGGAATGCTAATGACTAATAGCAGCTTCTTTTAATTGTTTTATGTGGAAGTCTCTGGCTGTGAACAAGGAATGTTGGGGGTGGAGGAGGGTCTCTCTCATTGTCCTCCTTTGTTGAAGATGGTCTTTTGAGTAGACTCCTGTTGCTGTCTTTAGACCCTGTAACACAATCTTGTGATCTGCATTGTATGCATTGCTAAATATTGTACATTTTTTTTCACATTGCAGGAAATCCTTGAGCCTGTGGAAGGAGACCCCACCTACCCCTACTGCTGAAAACATCAAGAGTGAACTGTATTTTGCATAAAATATCCTTCAACACAAAGGCTACTTAGAAGAAAACAGCTCTGGATTTGCAACGAAGGTCCCTGAAAATTCCGAAGGTCCCTGAAAATTCCATTAAGATCCAACACTAGTTTATGAGGCATCCCTATAACCTGGACTCAGTGACATCTCATCTTCACACCAGGCTTCACCGGTATGGGAGAATCCTGCCCTCGTAGAGTATAGTCAGCTGTAGGACCTCTCTGTGAATCTCTCTTTGGCTTCAAGGCAAAGACGGCTGAAAACTAAGGAACTGGTTGAACAGCTTCTTTTTTTTTTTATTTTAAGAAGTCGATGTCAGTCAGGGTCATTGTTTCAGTGATCACATAACATAAACTTGACACTTTTGATACCTCGTCTTATCAGGGCATTGACTTTCTCTGGTAGTCTCAGTGGATCACTCCAGATATGGCGTACCAGAATCTCAGCAACCCGGTTTTACAGCCCTGGACCTGCTGCAGCAACTGGAGGGATCAAGGTCTTCAATGATATGGTCCACTCGTATCTGGACCTGGTGCAGCGAAATGCCTTTCCTCCGGGTAAGTAGGCATTTTTATTATTATAATGGTAAATCTGTGTTTGGAGATCATGGGGGCCTCCATTATTATACTGTCCTAATAATAGCCGCCCCCCTTGTCATCTTGATCCTTTTTGCTTCTGTACACTCAGCCAGAAGAAGGAGAAGATCCAGATTTTTGGTCTTTCACCCCATCCTTTTGCTTGCTGCGTAGCCTGCTAAATTATTTTTTTTTTTATTATTATTATTATTATTATTATTAATTTCAGGTACTTATATAGCGCCGTCAATTTACGCAGCGCTTTACATATATATTGTACATTCACATCAGTCCCGCCCCGAGGAGCGTACAATCTAAGGTCCATATATATATATATATCAAGGGTGTATAGGTATATATATATATTGTACATCACATCAGTCCCTAACCCTCAAGGAGTGTACAATCTAAGGTCCCTATGTATATATATATATTGTACATTCACATCAGTCCCCGTCCCCCCAAGGGGTGTACAATCTCCAAGGTCCCGTACATTCACAAATCTAAGGTCCTAAAGGTCCCTATATATATATATATATATATATATATAATATATATATATATTGTATATATATTGTACATAGCATTCACATCAGTCCCTAACCCTCAAGGAGTGTACAATCTAAGGTCCCTGTACATTCACATCAGTCCTACCCTATACAGTCTATATATATATATATTGTACATTCACATCAGTCCCTGACCCTCGAGGGGCGTACAATCTAAGGTCCCTATATATATATATATTGTACATTCACATCAGTCCCTACATTTCAACCCTCAAGGAGTGTACAATCTAAGGTCCCTATATATAGGTCCCTATATATATATTGTACATTCACATCAGTCCCAACCCTCAAGGAGTGTACAATCTAAGGTCCCTATATATATATATTTTGTACATTCACATCAGTCCCTGACCCTCAAGGAGGGTGTACAATCTAAGGTCCTATATATATAAGGACCCGTATAAATATATATATATATATATATATATTGTACATTCACATCAGTCCCTAACCCTCAAGGAGTGTACAATCTAAGGTCCCTATATATATATATTGTACATTCACATCAGTCCCTGACCCTCAAGGGGCGTACAATCTAAGGTCCCTATATATATATATATTGTACATTCACATCAGTCCCTGACCCTCAAGGAGCGTACAATCTAAGGTCCCTATATATATATATATATATATATATTGTACATTCCCATCGGTCCCTAACCCTCAGGGGCGTACAATCTAAGGTCCCTAACTCACGTTCATACATACAGATACTAGGGACAATTTAGACAGGAGCCAGTTCACCTACCTGCATGTCTTTAGAGTGTGGAAGGAAACCGGAGTCCCCGGAGGAAACCCACGCAGGCACAGGGAGAACATGTAAACTCCAGGCAGGTGGTGCTGTGGTTGGGATTCAAACCAACGACCCAAGTACTGCCAGGCGGAAGGGCTAACCATTTAGCCGCTGTGCTGCCTGATTTAGAAAGTACTAGCCAGGCAACTAGCATTTTCAGATGGAAGTCAATTAGAGGCAGCCACTCGGTTTCCTTTAACCCCTTAGTGACTGAGGGTGAAACAAATGTTAACGCCTCAACACAATTTTGCAACTTTGACCTGTGTTAGTAAAACCGTACACATCATCCCAACTACTTTGTGTATCCAGGTGGATTATACCGCGTTGTTTTTTTTCAGGACAAATTGGGGTAAATGATAACGGATACCATTTTTTTCTCTATCAAAGAAAATAGAAAAAAAATATTTAATTATTTTTTTTTTTTTATTTATTTTTTTTTGTTTCTTACTATTTTTTATTTCTTACTATTAGCATAATTTACCACCAAAGAATAACCCAAAATAAACTCTCCTGCTCCTGTGGATCGCAGGGATACCATGTCTGTGTATGTGTGTATGTTAGTTGTACTTTTGTACCTGTAGTACGTCCCAGAAACAGTGATGTACATTTTGCTTTCTCTTTATCCTACCTAAAGCACACTGACACTGATACTAATTTATGAAAAAGGTTTTCTTTACAAATCCTACCCAAATTATACTGACCTTGACCTTTGACCCTTAACCCCAAACACCCTGGCACTGACCTTGATCCTAGCTATGTGGTTTTTTTTTTTGTTACACACTTTTGTTTATTTACATCTTTCTCTCCTGCAAGGAGAGAAATATACAATGCATCTCTCTCTCCATTCAGAAGAGAAATGAAAGGGTTACTAAACCCACAACAGTAACATCAGTCTGTATAGGGCAGTGAAGCATGTTTGTTATACTCACTGTGAAACCCAAGGGGTAATCCTCTGCGTTATATTAAAAGGCTTTTTGATCCTGTCTTCTCTGATCCTCCCCTTCTTCTACTGTCCCCAATCCATCTGCTGATAGTACAGAGCCCTAGAAGGCACTCTGCACATGCTCAGTTTGTTGTGTATTGCTAGAGCTCTAGAAAGTTGGGTCAGGGGTTCTGCATTCTCCTAGAGCAGAAAGAAAACTCCTCGTACAAGATTTAACCAGTACTCTACTGGACACTGATAGAAGTTACAAGACTGCTGTAACTGCATTTGACCCGGTTCCCCACACACAGCTAATGTTGCAAGGTGAAGTCTACAGGCTGGAAAATCTGTATTTAAATGGATAGAAAACTGGCTAAAAGATCGTATTCAGAGAGTAGTGGTCAATGATTCATACTCTGAATGGTCTAGGGGTGTGTCAGTGGTGTACCCCAAGGATCAGTGTTGTTAGAGGGGTACCCCAAGGTTCAGTGTTATTAGTGGGGTACCCCAAGGATCAGTGTTATTAGAGGGGTACCCCAAGGTTCAGTGTTATTAGTGGGGTACCCCAAGGATCAGTGTTATTAGAGGGGTACCCCAAGGTTCAGTGTTATTAGTGGGGTACCCCAAGGATCAGTGTTATTAGAGGGGTACCCCAAGGTTCAGTGTTATTAGTGGTGTACCCCAAGGTTCAGTGTTATTAGAGGGGTACCCCAAGGTTCAGTGTTATTAATGGGGTATCCCAAGGTTCAGTGTTGTCAGTGGTGTACCCAAGATTCAGTGTTATTAGTGGGGTACCCCAAGGTTCAGTGTTATTAGTTTGGTATCCCAAGCTTCAGTGTTATTAGAGGGGTACCCCAAGGTTCAGTGTTGTCAGTGGTGTACCCCAAGGTTCAGTTTTGTCAGTGGGTGTGCCCCAAGGTTCAGTGTTATTAGTGGGGTACCCCAAGGTTCAGTGTTATTAGTGGGGTACCCCAAGGTTCAGTGTTATTAGAGGGCTACCCCAAGGTTCAGTGTTGTCAGTGGTGTACCCCAAGGTTCAGTGTTGTCAGTGGTTTACCCCAAGGTTTAGTGTTGTCAGTGGTGTGCCCCAAGGTTCAGTGTTGTCAGTGGTGTGCCCCAAGGTTCAGTGTTGTCAGTGGTGTACCCCAAGGTTCAGTGTTGTCAGTGGTGTACCCCAAGGTTCAGTGTTGTCAGTGGTGTACCCCAAGGTTCAGTGTTGTCAGTGGTGTGCCCCAAGGTTCAGTGTTGTCAGTGGTGTACCCCAAGGTTCAGTGTTGTCAGTGGTGTACCCCAAGGTTCAGTGTTGTCAGTGGTGTACCCCAAGGTTCAGTGTTGTCAGTGTGTGCCCCAAGGTTCAGTGTTGTCAGTGGTGTACCCCAAGGTTCAGTGTTGTCAGTGGTGTACCCCAAGGTTCAGTGTTGTCAGTGGTGTGCCCCAAGGTTCAGTGTTGTCAGTGGTGTACCCCAAGGTTCAGTGTTGTCAGTGGTGTACCCCAAGGTTCAGTGTTGTCAGTGGTGTGCCCCAAGGTTCAGTGTTGGGACCCTTACTTTTTAACATATTTATAAACAATATAGGGTCTGGGACTAAAAATCCCATTTCAGTCTTTGCAGATGACACCAAGCTGTGCCGGGGGGGAATAACGTCCTTACAGGATGTCTCCAACTTACAAGCCGACCTCAATGCAATGTTTAATTGGGCAACTACACTATATTGCCAAAAGTATTGGTCGGTCAGCCTTTCCACACACATGACCTTTAATGGCCCCCCCAGTCTTAGCGTAGGGTTCTTGAGTTGGCCCGCCCTTTCCACACATGACCTTTAATGGCCCCCAGTCTTAGTCCGTTAGGGTTCAATATTGAGTTGGCCCCCGCCCTTTGCAGCTATAACAGCTTCAACTCTTCTGGGAAGGTCTCACTATTCCTATTGTGGTTGCAACTCAACGTTTTGGATTTAGCCATCATTTTTATTCTCGGTGACATTGGTAATCAGGGCAATTAGAGAGGGTGAATGTCCTCAATAGGGACAGAGATAGTAGGAAGCAAATGTGATACTTTGCCCTGATTAGTCAAAATGGCGGATCACTTTAATTGGTCACTTTAAGCCATTATTAACTGCTTAAGGCAAAGGTGCCCAAACTGTGGTCCTCCAGGTGTTGAGGAACTGCAAGTTCCATGAGGCCTTGCAAGACTCTGACATCCATAGGCAAGACACCTAGAGGCAGAGACATGATGGGACTTGTAGTACTTCAACAGCTGGAGGGCCATAGTTTGGACACCCCTGCCTTAAGCAGTTAATAATGGACGGTTTTGTGGTGTGTTTTGAATCACTGTCTTGTCTCTTTTCCTTATAGCTTTAGTGATTACAGGACATGAACCTCCAGTATTTGCTGATACTTAGAAGAATCCATTTCACGCTTCATTTACTTCCACAAAACCACAAAGCATAGCAGATCCACCGTCACAATAATATTCGGCAATGTGTGCTCTCTTCATATGGTCCTCCTTCCTTTAATCTCAAAATGTATCGTTGGCAGGTTAGCCAATAAGTCCTACTTTTTATGTAACCAGAGCCAAAATGCCGCAGGCTTATCTAAGGCTGGTCAAAGGCCAAAAACATATTGTCAGCTCGTCTGATGCAGGATTGACAAAACGAACAGACGAGCGTAAAAACCGTATGCTGAAAAAAGCAAAGGTTCACT